CAGGGCGGTCACTGCATCTGTAGAATTTTTTTTCCTCCTGTGCACTCTGCTTTCAGTCCCTCCTTCTGCAGATGTCAGTGCAGAGCCGAGTCCCTCATAAACGTCCTCTTCCTTGTCACTTGGCACCTGGGTTCCAAAGGTGCCGACTCATGAGACGCACCACCATAGAAAGCATTTGTTTTGGATCCCTGCCGGCTTGCTGGGTGGAAGGGTGCCTGCTTTAATCTGCAGCTCTCTGACAGCTGAAAGCCTGAGCACTGTTTGACAGTGGAGACCAAGTGACTTCCGTGTGCCCTGCTTTTGAGAATGATTTCCTTTGCCTGTCTTTCTAGCAGTGTCTGCATCTTTTTCTTGTTGGTGAGAGCTACATGAGTTACTGATGTAAAAATGCCAACCTTTGATTTGCATGTGGTTTGTGAAAAGCCCTTGCTTTGCCACCTACGGGGTGTGCCTGGTGTTTTGGGGTTGAGAGCGCAGATGCAGACCCACATCTCCTCACCGTACAACTTCCTTTCCCTACAGAACCTGTATTTTCATCTATAATGGGATAATATTAACAGTTTGTATGGCCAGGGGGTGAAATGACTTTATAAAGTGCTTATAACAGTGCCTGGAATGCAGTATGAAATAATTATTTACTTTTTTTTAGTGTCTATGTTATTGTTTTCTGTTGGTCAAAGTATTACATCCCATGAATGAAGCTATCTCTTGTGGGTTTCACCTTCAGTGTGATGTTTAGGAAGGATATCTTTGTTACAAATTCATGTATTTATCACCTTCTTTCAGTATTGTTATGACTGTCTTTAAAAATACTTGAATTTTACATCCACCGGGAATCCAGATGTGAGGTTCATGGTTGTATTCTTTGAGTATCTAACATTACTTTGAGGACTCGAAGGTTCCCATTTGATTTCCTTTTAATTTAAACTTTTACGCAAACCCTTTGTTTTAGGACAAGTCATAGCACACTATTACTGTGAAGAAACAGAGCTTCCTGCTGGCCCCTGTGACTGCCCCTAGTGCTCTTCCCTGTCCCGGGTCCCCACATGACCTCTGGTTGCCAGGACTCCTCAGGCTTCTCTTGGCTCTGACCTGCTTCCTTAACTGTCCTCGAGTCTGGTGACCTTGACAGTTGTGAGCAGCACCGTTTGAGTGCTTTGTAAGACACTTGTCTTAGTCACTCTCCTTGTCACTGGGACATGGTGCCCGACACCTGAAACTTAGAAGAGGAGGGGCACGTTCTAGCTGAGTTTCAGAAATTTCCTTCTCTAGGTGTAGACAAAGTGGAGGGCAGGGAAAAGCTGCTCGCATCATGGCGTCCCGGAAGCAGAGTGAATGAGGAAACCTGAGGGGAGACACGCTTCTGGGTCACACTCCGCTGACCCACCGCTTCCACCGGCTCCCTCCTCCAAGGGCCAGTCAACCGCTGTATCTGCTACAGCCCAGTCCTCTTCCAAAAGCTACCTGAGAGTGCGTGAGGTCCTTGCGGGGCATCTAGGTCTAAGCCAGAACAACTCTCCTCTGTGGGACCAGCTGCCATTTTTAAAAAATTTTATTTAAAGAAAGACAAAACAAAACAGAAAATGGGCAGAAATAATACATACTTTCAAAGAAAAGAAATAAACAGTAATAAATTACTAGCTGATGTATACATATTGTCCCCCCACAAATAGTTGTTCAAGATACAAAATTGGAACAAACAAATGGAAATTCAACCAGGGAGACTGCAAATAGTTCTGTTCAACTATCCAACAAAACTAAGAAATATGGCTATCAATCCTATACACTTAGACATGTACGCATTTATCCATATCTTCATTTATATTGAGACCTAACAAAACTTAGTAGATTAAAATCATTCTGAACAAAGATTAATAATATTGCTGGATTTCACATCATAACACTCCAGAATCAGCACTGGGTACTGCAGTGCCCCATTTTTTTTCCTTCAAAGTATTTGTTCATTTCATCATGTGTCATAAGATCAGTTCTCATAGACTGTTTATAGGTTTTATGCAAGTGTGAGTCTTGATACGTATTTCTATCCTTTCTATATTAGAGGGAGAAACAGAATAAAGCAGGACAGAACAAAACATATTCCTATAGACACATAAAACTAAAAAGACATATAAAACTGCTGTATAAGGGGTTCTATCATGGTCACTGTGCTGTCTCTTGTTATCATCAACAGAATTGGCTATATCATCAGATAAAGTATAATTGAACATATCAGTACATAACAGAATTAATAGAAATACAACTTTGTAGATAGTGTAGAGATACAAAAACAGGTAGTAATCAAATCAGAATGGATATCATGGTGAATCATTGTCATTTTCAGTATAGTTGTCTATACTCCTCAACTTGATGCCAGCATCCTAACAGTTTTGAATAAAATCTGTCAATAATAAGCAGCAATCAAACAAGTCAGATTTAACTAAAATCAGTCATGATATGACAGTATAAGTCATACAGGGATTCAGATTGAGTTAACAGGAAATTAAAGATGACCACTGTGCTATATCCTGATATCTTTGGGACAGCTGTCTGTGCCCACAGATCCAGTGCTTGTATACAAACTGGGATAGAACAAGTTCCATCCAAGCAGAGTGGTGTGAGTAATAAGGGTTTTAATTCCTGACACACTATTAGCAATATCTCCTGCTGTCTTTTTTAAGACTATGCCTCCCCTTTACTCCCCCAGGATGTACTGTGTATTTTTGGGTCTCTCTAGCACTCTCGGTTTTATATTGGAGGGGGGGGCAACCTGCTATTTACTTAAGTGTTTCCAAACTTTCTCACTCTTGGACTTGATTTCTAGTTATATTTTTTCACTTATTAAAGCCTGTCTTTTCAACCTATCCATAAATACTGGTCCAATTACCCCTGTTACTCTCTGGTTCCCTAGTACATCAAGTTCCATTATCTCATATTTGATTTTGGTCCATATACCCTTCTTCAGGTTAATTATATTTCCTATAGAGCATCTCAATGGACCCTACCTCTTGATCCACTCTGCCTGTGATTCTCTCCTTTTTCCCTTAAGTTAGTGTATTTAGGCCATCTATATTAGAAATTATATCCAACTGTCTCTGCCTCATTTCTGTAGTGCTCTTCTTCCATCATTAGTTGTCTGTTTGTCTTCTTCATTTTGCCTTCTGTTCCATTCACTGGGGCCTCTCTGCCACTGTTCCTGAAATCCTGGTGCTTTTCTCTTTCTTTAGAATGTACTGTAGTATTCTCTGTAGAGTTGGATTGGTGGTTGTGAATTCCCCTAGTTCCTCTTTATTTTGGAAGCATCTTGTTTCTCCATTAATTTCTAGGGATAGTTGTGCAGGATGCATCAATCTGGGCTGGAGGTTATTTTCTTTCAAGGCTTGGATTATTTTGTCCCATGCTCTTCTCAATTTGATGCTGTGTGCTGAGGAGTCTGCCATAATTCTGATAGGTTTTCCCTTGTAAGTGATCTGTTTCTTGTCTCTGACAGCTTTCGATATTCTGTTCTTATATTGGATATCTGGGATCTTGATTATTGTATGCCTGGGTGTAGTTCTGTTTTGGTTGTAGGTGGCTGGAGTTCTGTATGCCTCATACATCTGAGTATCTTTTCCTTTTCCTATGTTTGGGAAGTTTTCCTTAATTATTTCTGTGAATAGCCTTTGTAGTTCCTTTGTTTGTAGCCCTGCTTCCTCATTCACATTCTTTATTCTTAAATTATAGATCCTTTTGTCATCTTCTAGCCTTTGTATTGTTACTGCTTGCTTCCTTGTTATTTTTAAGAAATTTTTCCTTTCATGTTCCCACATTGCAAACCTGTCCTCCAGTTTGGATAATCTATCCTTAGTTTCTTCCAAGCAGTTTTGCCAGCTTTCAATGGAGTTTTTAATTTCCTGGTAATCTCTTTGAACCTGCTTCATGTATTCTATGTTTTCTCTATTTTCTCCATCAAACAATTATACCTTTTTTTGTTCTTCCATTCTTCCATCTGTTTTTTCTTGGGAGGTGCTTAGCATTTCTTTAATTATTCTATTTATATCTCACTTTACTTGGTTAAATACTTCACTTTAGAATTCATCTATGAGGTCCTGAAGATATCGCTTTATGTCTATTGGTGCCATGCCTGATATTGCATGTTTTCTGTCCTCATTCTCGTTTGCATTTACCTTTCCTGGTTCAGTGTTCTCAGGCTGGGGACTGAGGACCCTTTCTTGTTGCCTCCTCTTCTCATATTTTTTGTTCCTTCCATACAGGTGTATATTGGAGGCCCAGTTTCTGTCTTTGTTGGTTACAGTTTGTCTGAAGTGCACTGACTAGATGGTCCCACCCACTGCAGTGTACTAGGAGGTACAGACCCGGGCAGCCTATGCTGCGCCCGCCCCTCCAGGTCAACCTGCTGAAGGCTTCACTGCATTAGGCTGCACTGTCAGGTGTAGGGACTTAGTTTGGGCTATCCTATTGGGTCTCAGTCTGCAGCATCACCCAGATCAAGTGCTCCCCACCAGTCCCACTTGAGAAAGGAATATCTGACTGAAGGCACTGCAGCGCCTTGTTCTGGCGAGTCTGCCCGGTCCTAGAATGTCATCTGTTGGAGCCTCTTTGTCTATGGAAGAGCCTTTATTCCCCCCACTCGCCGCAGGCTGATGCAGGGCTCCCCGCCAGCTCTGCTCTCAATTTGGTTCACCGATTCCTGCTCTCAGAGCGTTCGCATCTCCAGAGAGTTGAAACCAGCGGGCTATCCTGGCTGTGCCAGTTTAAGTGCGGCAGCGGCAGTGAGTTCAAGCGGCAGCACCGAGACTGTAGCTGTTCCAATCGTAGCACCAGGACTGTATTTTTAATTGGTTTCTCTCAGCTTAGTTTGTTCCTGGGTCGGCAGGGTGTGCCTCCCCCTGTTTGGGATTCCCTGCTGTATTATTTTTGGAATCTAAGTTGACTATCTCAGGGAGCCTCTGTAGCCTGCTGTTATCTGTCCACCATCTTTTTCTCTCTCCGGGCTGCTTTCTTACTGTGAGGCTGTGGCATGGGGTGGGGAAGTAGACACCCCCCCCAACACGCTGTGGCAAGGCTGGCACCAGGGATCGCTGCTGCTGCTGGCCTCAGCACCCAGCTGACACTGTGTTTATCTAGCTTCTCCTGACAGTCCCTTTCTGTGTGATCTTGGGTGAGGCCCACACCGGAGGGGTAGGTGTCATGCTCCATGCCTTGAGGTGTTTCTCCACGAGTCCTTTGGAATTCTGTGTGGGACATTGGTCTCTGCGTCCCCATCAGTATTCATCCAATCACTGATTTACATCAGTGTGGACATTTCTTTCCCACTTGGGTTACAGCCCAGTGGTCTGTTATTATTATTTTTTGTTGTTGTACATATTGTCCTAGCTTTGGCTTCATGGAACTTACTCTGTGGTCCCTGTGTCACTGCTGTGGATTCTTTTGATGTCCTGTTTTAGTCCTGATGTTCTGGAATGTTTTATAACCTACTGAGGTGAGCCAGTGCTCAGCTCTGTGCCTCTCTACACCTTGGGCCTGAGCTTGCCCTTGGCTCATAGATGTCTTTTCTCTGCTGTGTCCTCACAGGACAAGGAGCTCTCTGGAGTCTCTTCCATAAGGGCCCCAGTCCTCTTTATGAGGGATGTGTGCTCATAATCTGATCACTTTCAAAGCCCCTGCTCTCACCTCCTCAAAGGTTAGCATTTCAACAGAAACTCTGGTGGGATACAAATGTTTAGATGAGACTATTTCACCCCTGGGTTCCCAAGATTCATTTCCTTCTCCCCACAAAGTACATTAACTCCATCCTATATTAGCTTTCTTATTGTTAGGACACAATACCTGATTCCCACAAGTTAACACAGAGAAGGTTTAATTAGGCTCATAGTTTAGGGGATTCAGTCCATACTCAGCAGGCTCCAAGACAGCATCAGAAGGGAAGGGCGTGATGGAGCAAAGATGGTAGTTCATAGTGGGCGGGAACAAAGCAGGCCAACAGTGTCAGGGCCAGGGACGAGGCAGAGTAGCCCAGGTCTCGCCTCCATGATACCCCGATATACAGTTTGCTAGGTAATAGCTCCAAGCTATTAACATGTTTTCTTTCTTTTTTGGTAGCAGGGATTAAACTCACGATCTTCTGCCTACCAGACAAGCGCTTGAGCCACAGAGCTAAATCCCTAGCTACTAACTTGTTCTGGAATCAATTCAAAAGCCTGATGCTCAAAGCTTCCTGTAAATATCACACTAATGAATGTGGGTGAGACCCAAGTTATGAGCCATCCTGAAGCCACTGCTCACCATGTGTGCAGTTCAGCAGCTCGTGCTCAGCACAGCAGTGGGCTGGCCTGGCTCAGACAACTCTGTCCAGAAGGGAGTGACAGGTGCAAGTCCCAAGCCCTCCAGGATAAATTTTGTTAGCTTTAAGTCCTGCGACTGCTCCTCTCTGGCCGGAGCCCTGCCCTCCAGGCCCACTGGGACAGAGACTTCTGGACATGCAGGGTGGGGCCTCAGGGTGCTGGTCAGAGATGAGGACCCCATTTCTGCAGCCATGCCAGGCAGGGCTGGGCCCTGAAACTCCTCCTGGGCCTTCCTGGTGGTGGTTTCCTGCTGAGGTCTCCATGGTGGCTTTGTCCCAGGTCACGGTCCTGACAAGAGGCCCTATCAGACTGGACCATGGTCCCCGTGTCTCCAGTGGGAACTCCACGGCTGGGGCTGACCATGGTGGCCACACACTCACAGGGGTTTTGTGCTCAGAGGGCAGTAGGAGGCACAGCGCTGAGTCCAGAGTGGCATCTGTCCATTGTCCTGAACAGCAGACAGGTTTCTGCTTCTGGTCAGATGGCCAGGCACGCTTGATCAGATGGTCCCTAGGCCACATCTGCCCTGTGCTCCTCTGAAAAGCTTGCCACCCTTCACAGCATGGATGGGGCTGAGCATTTTCCCCACTTTGTTCTGCTTCCATTCTGATGAGCACATTTCCTAAGAAGTAATAAAGTGAAGCCAGGATGCCCCGTGGACACTGCACTCATAACCTGACCCCGTCAAGTGTCCAGTTCCACCACCTGCAAACTCCACCTTTCGCGAGATTCTGGGTCACAGCTGTGACTCAACTGCAGACTCCCACGGGGAGGCAAGCGCAGCCTTTCCTCCGGATGCTGCAGTGCTGCCTGAGGTCTCCTCAGGACGGCCTCAGCTGTCTGCATGGCACCGACGCCTGTCTGGGGTCCCCGGGGGTATGCTGAGGAGATGGTGCTCACTCCACGGCTCTGGCGCTTCCTTCCTGGGCCCTCACAGCATCAGCCTTAGGTGATTTATTTACGGCAACGTGGCTTTTCCTGGCGCACAGTGACTTCCAGTTCCAGAGCCGTGTCCGTACTTGGGTATTGCTGTCATGACACCAACTTCTTAGCATCAGTTTCCCCTAATACAGTTGTTCTGAGGGTCGTGCTTGCATCATGTGAGTTTGGAGCAACACAATCATTCAGACTGTCCTTCCTTTGAGTTGCTGGTATTTTTGGTGTGTGTGTGGGGGGGCTGGTACACATTTTACTTTATATTTTTTTCTATCCACCTAGCAGGCCCAGGGGCTGCAGCTGGATAATCTAAGAGGCAGCCACAGCTGATCCACTGGGCGCCCACTCTGGCCCCTGGCCTGGCATTCCAAACTGGGCAGGGACTTCAAAGGGCTCAGAAAGTGGCTCCAGATTCTTGGGTGCTATATATAAAGTGAAAAGATGAATCATTGGGTGAAACTAGCACAAAGCTCGCAGGCAGAGCAGTGAAGCTGGAGGAGGAGCCCAGGAAAGCCATGTGTAAGACCCCCTGGGAAGGCACCGGAGGCTTTGCCACCCCAATCTGTGCACCGTGGGGTGCATGGTGACCCCTCTGAACTTCAGTCTCCTTCACGGTACAGAAGGACCCAATCTGGCATTACAGAAAGGCTCTGGGGATTGAGCAGGCCCCTGGCACTCTCTGGAGCAGCACGTCCCCAACGTCCCTAGTGGGGTCACGGCTAAGCCAGAGAGCTCTGGCCTCGGCCCCTCAGCTAGGGCAGCTCCACTCCTGTCCCTGAGGCATCGGCTCCCACTTGTGATGCTGGGGAGGGGACTTCCTGGCTGGCTGCCTCGGACCCCTCCGCCCCACACCTCCCCTCCATCATTTGCCCCTGCCATGATTGGATCCCTACTAGGGGCCCCATTAGCAGCCGGTGTGGCCAGCAGATGTGGCACACAGGCAGGGCCTCTTACCACTGACAGAGGACGGCCAGCAGCCAGGAGCACCTTGCATGCCAGGGTGTGTCCAGGCAGGCCCTTCTCGTGCCTCCTCCTCATCCCAGCCCTGTTGCCTCCCCTTGGCTGGTGCAGGCCTGATGAAGGCAGAGGTGACCTTGGAGGCCAGGGTCACCACCATTGTCCTCTCCAGATCTTCAGCTTTGGCTTCCGGCCACAACCCCTGCATCTATGCAACAGCAGTGCCCCACCCACCTCCCTGCTCACTTCCGGCTGTCTCCTCACGGTGGCTGCTGACGTGGAGAATGCATGTGTGTGCTCTTTCCTCCTCCTCACCCTGCCCTCTCTCTGCTGCTTCCTTATCTCTGACAGCACAGGGCACCAGGGCACCTGCCTCCGCCAGCAGCTGTCCTCCCTGTGGGCAGTGACAGGTGGCATTGGTGAGAGGACCTCGCCCCAGGTATGTGTGTAGCTGCAGGTGGCAGTGAGGGGCAGTCACGCAGGGCAGGTGGAGGCTGGGCTGAGGGTACAGCAGGGGCTGGGTCTGGCAGGGCACCAGCTGTTCCGTTGTCTGCTTAGAAGTTGAACTATAATTCTAGTACTCTGGGAGGCTGAGGCAAGAAGATTCTGAGTTTGGGCACCTTCGTGAGACTTTGTCTCAAAATTTGAAAGAAATTTGAAAAAGGCTGTGAATGGAGCTCAATGCAAAGGCCTTGCATCCAATTCCCAGTACTGCAAAACAAAACTCAACACCGGGAAAGAAAGCCAGTTTTCTAAACTCCCTTCCTGCGTGCAGGTGAGAAGACAGATCTGGGCTGTCTGGGTCTCTGGTGTCGCTGCCCATCAGGCACCGGGGGTTTGAGACCTGTCCCAGTCCCAGCTGTGAGTGATGCAGGCTTTGCTGGTTCCGGTCCTGCCTGGACAGCTGTCCTCCGCCCTGGCTCTCCTGTCTGCTCTGAGCACACCCTCCCCAGCGGTAGTGGAAATGTCCAGGTGTCGGCATGGGGCGTGAAGCCCCGCATTCGCCATGTGGTGTCAATGTGCCACCGAGCCTGAGTCCTAGGGCTGTCACGACCACGCAGGTGGTGTGGGGAGAGGCAAAGACAGAGACAAATAATGGAAGATTCAGTGCATTTGTGTCTTTTATTTTTAATACTATTTAACATTTTTTTTTAGTACCAGGGATCGAACTCACGACCTCATGCATGCCAGGCAGGCGCTTGTTCAGCTGAGCTAAATCCCCAGCTACCGTTTAACTTTTAGTCATGACCATCCTTTTACAGATGATCTGTGAAATTCCCGAACATGTACCATTCGGCTCGTGGGAGTAGACAAGCCCGCTGCAGCACAGGCAAAACCTCGACCCCCTCCGAGGCCTCGCAGGGGGCCGTGTGCCCCCAACTCTCCTCCTCAACATGGGTGGCTGCGCCCATGCTCCTTGTAGCCACTCTCAGGCCCCGTGTGGCCCTCGCTGGCCCTGCTCTTCTGTCTGCCCTCTGCCTGCAGCTCCTTCCCTGCCTCTTGCCCCCTCAGCATTTCTGGGGAGCACTAGCCCGGGCCAGCGCTTTGCTGAGCTGGGGATGCAGATGTGGCCGCTGTCCCCTGGAGCCTGTGACCTCACAGGGCTGGGGCCCAGGAACCCAAGAAGCTGCAGACATGGTAGACAGGGCACAGGGCGGGGCACCTTTGACTGCTGCCAGGCAGCCCCTGCTGGGCTGGAGAGCCCATAGAAGCATCTGGATTGGACCAGGACTTCCTCAGGAACCCGGACAGTGCTCCTGGGGACCATGGGCCACCCTGGGACATGCACCTCAGTGCCCCAGGGGGGACTGCTTGGTGGCCTCTCTTCCCAGAGTGGCCGCATGATGGCTGGGTGACCCAGTGTGTGGCCATTACAGTGATGGGGAGCGCGTAGGGTACCCCATGTGTACCCCATGACACAGCCTTTGTGCTGCACCCTGCCACACCCCGACATGGCAAGTTACAGTGTGGCTTCTGAAGACAGAAGACCTGCCAGAGCTTGAACTCAGAGGGGTCAGCAGGTGGGATGGCACGCAGGCCAGATAGGAAGCGGCATCGCAGTCGTGCAGACTCTGGTCCCGCCTTGCAGTGTCCCTGCTGACGTCGAATTAGTTGGTTAACACAAGCCACAAATTTGCTGCCAGTGGCTTGCGAGAGTTGAGGGGTGGATACATTTTCTGGGACCTGCGACGCTAAAAGCAAAGCTGGGCCTTGATTGCCCTCTGGTGGTTAAAATCCACCACTGCACCGTCGATTGTGGCCTCTGGTGTCGCTGCTGCAGCCCACCTCCAGGAAGGCACAGAGCCTTTTTTCTTCCTGAGTCAGCGTCTCGCTATGCAGTTTATGATGGCCTCCAATGCGCTTTGTAGCCCAGGCTGGCTTTGAACTTGCAGCAATCCTTCTGCCTCAGCCTCCCCAGTGCTGGGATTACAGGCATGCACCACCACGCCTGGCTCCTGAGGCCTTATTAAATTGAATTAGTGCTCATTTTTTTTCTCTTTTTCAGTACTGTGGATTGAACCCAGGGCCTTCACACTGAGCTACATCCCCAATCCTTTTTTATTCTGAGAAGGATTCTTGTGAAGTGACTGCATTGCCTAGGCTGGGCACCAACGTGTGATTCTCCAGCCTCATCCTCTGAGACTGCTGGGTTACAGGTGTGCCGGTTTTGGGTCTTTAAACCCAGCTATTGCCCTCCCAGCAGTTCTCGCAGCCTAGAAGCCGGTCTCCCGTGAGCTGAGGGCTGGAGTCTCTCTCCTGACATCATGGTTTTAGTCTGATCAGGATAGGTGTCCACGTCCCTCCTGCAGGCTGGTGGCAGTCACGTCCCGGTGGTGGAAAATGTGGGGATTTATTGTGCCTGGGCAGAGGGGGCCGCTCAGACGGCCTCCAGCCAGCTCTGCCCGGCTCTGGTGGTTTTAGGCTGGGTTCTGCTGTGTTTTCAGGCACACCGCGTGCAGTCTCTTTCTCCTCCCTTCTTGCTGGCTCCCTGCTCCTTCTTTACCTTCTTCCTCGCCTCCCTTTTTTTCCCTTCTTTTTTTATCAGGCTAATAAGTCGCCTCAGGAAATGAATTTGAAATTGTGTCCCTCTGTTCAAATTTCTAGAAATCTAGTTTTTAAAGAATTTTATTTTAAAGAGAATAAAACTAAACCAAATAAAACAGAATAAAGCCAATCAAAACAAAACAGTGAAACACGACTTCGAAACAAGATAATAGGAAGCCAAGAACGGCTACCATAATATATCTTGTTATCTTCAAAATAATTGCCTATACCATCAGACACAACAAAATTAAAAAAAGAAAACCAAAGTGGAATAAAACCAAACTGCACCAAACAATGAAAACAATACAGGACTTTAAAACAAGACAACAGGAAATCAACAGTCATTACCATAAAGCCTCTTGTCATCTTCAAATTAGCTGTCCGGACCATCAGGCACAGGCATGTAAAATTAACCAATGATACGAGAACTAAGTGGCCTCTTCAGTTGTCATCTTTTCAGAAGTTTCAGGTGTGTGGCTTCTAATTTCTGTTATGTCTGTGTCTCCTGGATGTGTTCTGCGTGGGCTGGAGCTCTGAGATTGTATTTTGCCCCTTCGTCTTGACATTTTCCTGTGTTGGCCTGAATCAGCCCACTGCAGCACCCGGCTGCTTCCTGCATTGGCCGCCAGTCCCTCGGTGCCAGGGGTTGGACTGGGCACCTGGCTTCCTGGAGTGGTGCAGAGGTGCGGGGTGGCGGGGCCTCGGGCTGTGGCTCTTCCCCGGCCCATGCTGGGCTGCTGGCGCTTGGCCTCGGAGCATGTTACTTTTTTCTCTGTTGGTATTTGGTAGAACTTGCAGCAAAGCCGTCTCAGCCTGATTTTTTTTCTTTGTCAGCACATCTAGAACTACAAATTCAGTTTCTTCCGTATGATCCCAGGTCATGTGTTGGTTTCTGGAGTGTCTCGGCAGGTGGTGCTGTTCAGGGCTGGTCATGGCCTCTCTGTGGCCGAATCTCTTCCTGCAGGTCTGTGTGCTCGTTCCTCGCTGGCCGTGCTGTCGTCCGTGAGCCTGCAGTAAAAGCTTCTCTTCTACTTCTGATGTTACTCACTGTGTCTTCTGCCTTCTCTGTTTAATAGTCCTTCCTTTTTCCTTAGTCTGACCACTAGTAGTATGTCAGTTGCGTTGATCTTCTAAAACTAAAACGGCTGTTGATCTCACTGACGTTTCTCCATTTTTTCTGTTTCCAGTTTAATTGGTTTTTCTCTCATATTTATTTCTTCCTTATTGTTGTTTGCTTTGGCTTTTTTCTGCTTTTATCTTTGTAGTTTCCTCAGGTGAAACATTAGATTATTGGTCCTGCTGCCCTCGGACTCCCGGACCTCCACCGATGCACAGGGCCTGGCCAGGCCGCTTCTGCACCCCGCTGTCCCACCCTCGGGGACCCCCCACCTCCTGAACCTAGCATTGCTGTTGATTTTGGCTCCCACTCCTCCTCCCAAAACCTTGGACTGCAGTGGATTAACCGTGCTAGGATGATGGGAGACTCAGTAACCCCTCATCCAAACAGAAGACCTCAGCAGGCTTCCATCAGTGTGGTGAGTTTGCCCATAAAATAGAGGTCTTCAGTGGTTAAACAGGAGCGATAGAAAAGCTCCCTCTAGCTGTAGGGCCTTGGCAAGGACTCTGTATGAGTCCTTCCTCCAGTCAGAGAACATCAGGTAGGTTGAGGACAGTGTTCTTATTTTAAGAAAAAATAAAAGGGCTTAGGAGACACTCAGCGACACAGTAGGGTCCCACCCGAGACAAACACTATAGACAGGGACATGTGTGACCTGAAACAACCTGAAGACATAGTAACAGCAGGAACTAAGGGTTGACTTACATCAGTACTCCTAGGCTAGTCAGCTCAGGAAGAACATAGATCTCACCCAACAGGGCCAGCGGAGGAGTTCAGGTGACTGGCCCTCCTCTTCATTGTGGTGCCCAGCAACTGGACAAACATCAACCACACGGTACGACCCTAAGATACACACTACCAATAGCTGAGACTAGTGGGATTAAAAGACCAAATATTAGCCTGAAAGGTGAAAATGACAAAACAAAAAGGCAAAATGCAATCTTAAACATCTAGCCCCTCAGGAGCAAGCACCAGGAGACATTGAAATAGAGGACTTTAAAAGTCACACACCAGAAATCTCTGAAAAGATAGCCAGTGAAATAAAGAAACAAATTCATGAGGCTATAGAGGAAATCAGATTAGAAATAGTTTCTCACATAAAGACAGAAATAACAACTTTAGTAAAGGTGTTGCTCAGCACAGCTAGAGAAGAAATAGATAAAGAAGTATAGGAGCACGGGAAACTGATTGAAACCTTAAAGAAAACAAGCAGAATCCATGAAAGAACTTCAGAGAGACATCCAGGAAACCAAAAATTCTATGAAAGCTGGAAAACTGTTTAAATGAAGATAGAATTTCAGACCTTGAGGACAGGATCTCAGCAATCATGAAAGGATAGAACTTTTAAAAATAACAAACCAGCATGAAAAGACAATTCAGTAGCTTCAAGATGATGCCAAGAGAAATAATATAAACTGAGAGGCATCAGTGAAGATGCAGGAGTCAACACAAATGAGATTGGTAAACTATTCACAGAAGTAATAGTAGAAAATTTCCTGAACATGGGGAAAAAATCTGATATACAGATAAGTGAGGCATATAGAACTCCAAAGAGTTGCAACCAGCATAAATCTACATCCAGACATATAAAAAATTAAGATCCCAGACATGCCACATAAAAGCAGAATACTAAAAGCTGTTACAAAAAAGACACAGCTCACCTACCAAGGAAACCCCATTAGAATCATGGCAGACTTTTCAGCACAAACCCTCAAGTTAAGACGAGCTGGTGTGAAGTATTTCAAGCCCTGCAAGAAAACAAATTTCAACCCAAACTGATGTACCCAGAAAAACTTTCTTTCAAATTTAATGAAGAAACAAGATACTTCCATGACAAAAAGCAATTCATGTCCACCAAACCAACCCTAGAAAGAGTACTGAAAGTCATACTAGATAGAGATAAAGATGACCACAATTTCCAGAACAACAACAGAAAGAAACTACCAGGCAAGGCAAGCAATTAAACAAGGGGGAAAAGCAGAAAACCAATAACAGGAACATAGCATGGTGAAGTTGAGCCAGTGCATATCAGTTATACCCATCAATGTAAATGGCCTCAATTCACCTATCAAAAGAGATAGACTGACAGAATGGATCAAGAAACATGATTCCACAATATGTTGTATACAAGAAACACATCTGACCCAAAAGGAAACTCATAGGTTAAAATTCAAAAGGTGAAAAACAGTATTCCATGCAACGGGAACCCAGAAAAAAGCAGACAGTGTGAACTTCTATTTGCAGACAATGTGAACTTCAAACCTAAAATGATTACAAGAGATAAAGAAGGCCTCTACCTACTTGTTAGTAGAAAAATTCAAGAGGAAAAACTAACAATTATAACTATATATACACCAAATACAGGAGAACCCAACTGTATAAGACAAATACTAATGGACTTGAAAAGCCAAATACACAAGAACACAATCGTAATAGGGGACCTTAATACTGTCACAGAGAGATAGATCAACCTGACAAAAGTCAGCAAGGAAATAATAGAACTGAATCATACCTGTGAGCAAATGGACTTAGTGGATGTTCATCCAATCACAGCAGAATACACATTCTTCTCAGCTGCACATGGGACATTCTCCAAAATAGACCATATATTACCCATAAATCATTCTTAAGTAAATGCAAAGGGACTGAAATCATCCCGTGCATATTATTGGACCATAGTGTACTGAAATTGGAAATTAATGGCAAAAGAAATTGCAAAACCTGCATAAATACATGGAACTTAAATAACAACCTTCTGAACAAGGTTTAGAAGGTTTAATTTCATCTTGAAATTAAAAAGTAAGTAAGCAATACCTACAATTCATCTTGAAATTAAAGAAGAAATTAAGCAACACCTACAACTCAATGAAAATGTGGATACGACATACTGTAACCTGTGGGACACGGTGAGAGCAGTCCTAAGAGGGAAATATATAGCAATAAGTTGTCATAATAAGAAACCAGAATGAGTGCAAATAAACAACCTAATGCTGCATCTCAAACTTCTAGAAAAAGAAGAGCAAGTAAAACCCAAAGTTTATAGAAGAGAGGAAATTGTAAAGATCAGAGCAGAAATTAATGCAGTTGAAACTAAAAAAATACAAAGCATTAATGAATCAAAGAACTGGTTTTTGAGAGGATAAACAAAATTGATAAACTTTTTGTCAACTTTATCAAGAAAAAGAAAGAAAAAACTCAAATTCATGCAATAAGAGCTGAAAAGAGAGAAATTACTACCGATCTCATGGAAATTCAAAAGATCATGAACACCTACTTTGAAAATCTCTACTCACATAGGGTGGAAAACATAGAGGAAATGGACAGATTTCTAGAAACATATAAGTTACCAAAGCTCAACCAAGAAGATAGAGCGATTTTGAACAGCCCAATATCAGCTATTGAAATTGAAAACATGATTAAAAACTTACCAACAAAGAAAAGCCAAGGTCCTGATGGATTCACAGCTGAATTCTACAAGAAATTTAGAGAAGATTTAATGCCAATACTCCTTAAACTCTTCAGTGAAATTGAAAGAGAAGCAGTCCTCCCTAAATCATTCCTGGAGGCAAGTATCACTCAGATATGAAAACCAGAGAAAAACTCAACCAAGAAGGAGAACTATAGGACAGTCTCCCTGATGAACATTGATGCACAGATTCTCAATAAAATACTGGCAAATAGAGTACAACAAGTCATCAAGAAGAGTCTACATCCCGACCAAAGGGGATTTGTTCCAGGAATGCAGGGATGGTTTAATATATGCAAATCAATAAATGTAATACACCATCTCAACAGAGCCAAAAACAAAAACCACCTGATCATCTCAGTAGATGCAGAAAAGTTTTTGATAAAGTCCAGTACTCGTTCATGATAAAAATGCTACAGAACTTAGAATAGATGGTATCTACCTCAATCTCATGAAGGCCATTTATGACAAACCAACAACCAACATTATACTCAATGGATAAAAACTGAAAGCTTTCACTCTAAAATCAGGAACAAGACAAAGATGTCCACTGTCAGCACTACTATTCAATATAGTTCTGAAAATATTAGCCAGAGCAAAAGAGATAGAAACATAGGGAATAACGATAGGAAAGGAAGAAGTTAAATTATCATTTCCAGATGACATGATACTATATAGAAGACCCAAAAACTCCATTAAAAGACTACTAGAGCTAATAAACAAATTCAGCATGTAGCTGGATACAAAGTCAACACTCAGAAATCAATAACATTCCTGTACACAAACAAAAGACTCACGAGAGAGAAATTATGGAATAATAGCACCTAAAAAAAATGAAATACCTAGGAATCAACCTAACCAAGAATGTAAAAGACCAACATGCTGAAAAGCATAGTAGTTTAAAAAAGGAAACAGAAGAGGATATTAGAAAATGGAAGGATATTCCTTGCTCTTGGTTAGGAAGAACCAACATTGTGAAAATGGCCAGAATCCCAAAAGTGTTACACAGATTTAATGCAATCCCAATCAAAATACCATTAACATACTTTGCAGATTTAGAGAAAACACTCCTAAAATTCATTTGGAAACAGAAGAAACCTAGAATAGCAAAGGCAATTCTGAGCAACAAAGGCAAGGCAAGAGTTCAGTTCATTATTAGAAACTGTACTACAAAGCTACAGTGATAAAATCAGCATAGTACCGGCAAAGAACTAGACCTGAGGATCAAGGGAACAGATTAGAAGGTGCAAACACAAATACAAAGACACTCAGCCACCTAATATTTGACAAAGGAGCTAAATATGTTCAGTGGAACATGGTGTTGGAAAAATTGGCTTTCCACATGCCAAAGACTGAAACTAGACCCATGCCTATCACCATGCACTAAACTAAAGTCAAAATGGATCAAAGATCTAAACATTAAAACAGAAACACTAAATCTACTGGAAGACAAGGTAGGTAGAAATCTTGGAGACATAGGGGTAGGCAGAGAATTCATGAGCAAAGCACAAACTGCATGAGAAATACTTTAAAGAAGCAAGAATTGGAATCTCATATTATTAAAAAGATTTGCACTTCAAAAGAAATCACTAACCGAGTGAAAGAAAACCCACAGAATGGGAAAGAATTTTAGCCAGCAACCCCTCAGACAAAGGACTTATATCAGAACATGTAAAGAATTGAAAAACATCAAGCCCCCATATTCAACGAGCCTTTCCAAAAATAGGCATCTGAGATGAACACACATTTCTCAGATGAAGGTATACAAATGGCAAATAAATACAGGGAGAAATGTTCACCATCACTGGTCACTCGGGAAATGCAAATTAAAACACCATTGAGATTTCATCTCACTCCAGAAAAAATGGCTGCCAAGAAATCAACTGATAACAAATGTTGGCGAGGCTGTGGGGAAAAAGGAACACTGCTCCACTGTTGGTGGGAGTGTAGACTGGTGCAACCACTATGGAAATCAGTATGGAAATTCCTCAAAAAAACTAGGCTTGGAAGTTCCATTCACCATCTATTTCCCTCCTGGGTATTTTAAAAGGTCATGTCACAATAATACATATGCACCCATGTTTATAGCAAGCACAATTTGTAATAGCTAAATCTTGGAAACAACTAAAATGCCCATCAACTGCAGAGTGGATGAAAAATATGTGGTATTTTTATACAATGGAATATTACTCAGCTATAAAAAATGATCTTGAGATTTTTAATAGGAAAATAGAAGCAACTCGAGACTATCCTCATAAGTGAAATAAATAAGACTCATATTTGTAAATATCACATTGTCTTCTTAGTGTAAAAAATTTTAAAAATTTTGACAAAGGAGCTAAATATGTTCAGTGGAAGGAGTAATAAGATCCAAAATGTATAATAGATATTATAAAAATGAAAGTGCTCTAAAGGATATAACTGTATCTATGTTTAAGTATATAAGTTAGATGACCACATTACTAAGTTTTTGTTGGGTCATTGAGCAGAACTGTTCTCAGTCTCACTGTTTGATTGCCCGCTTTGTTTATATGCTTTGATTTTGTAACTTAAACAACTATTTTTAAGATGACAATATGTAATTTATCAACTAGTGATTTCTTTTTTTTTCCTTTTTTAAAATTTTATTTTGAAAGTATACAACAGAACAAGTCAGAATAAAGCCAACTAAGATTGTACAGTGAAATTGGTACAGAACTTCACAGCAGGTTACTGGGATAACAGTAATAGGTATCACAGTATATTTTGTTATCTTTATAATAGTTGTTCTTTCAATCACGTATATCAAAATGAGATGAAATATAGAACACTATAGAACTTATCAAAACAGAATATTGAATAGAGCAGTACCATTAACCAGAAAAGAGCGAAACAGTAATAAAAATATTTGCCTTCAAAGAAATGGTAGAAGGAAGTCCCCCCTATTTGCTATGGTCAACCTCCCAGGAGATGCCCAGATTTCTGGTTCCCATTTGCTAATGGACGGGGGGTAGGGGGAGAAGGAAGATCAGGGAAGTGGGATATTTGACTCTAGGCCATGTAGCAGTAGGTTCACTATTGCTAAGCAGGGAGGCAGGATGGTCATTTGTTTTCACAGCGTCCTCAGTTCCAACATGGCGTGGATCGCAGGAGACACTGCTGGTTCTCCCCCTGGAAGGGCTGCAGTCTGCCACCTGCCTCCGCTTACCAGGGAGGGGAGGTGCTGGCTTGGCTTCCCAGAGTCCTCAGTTCAACATGGCCAACTAATAATTTCTTAGTGTTAATATTTCTTTTTTGAAATTCTGTATTATTTCTACCCTTTTTTCTAAATAAACAATTAGATCATTGATTTGAGTTCTTTCTTTTTTAAAGATAAGAATTTATTATAAGTTTCCTCTCAAGCATTGTGTTTAGCCGATAACCCACACTGTAGTTTCATTTTTTTTAGTAGGCTAGCCCTTCTTTACACTTTAACTATTTTTAATTTGTGTGTTCTTTCTTTCATGTCATTTTTATTGGAAATTTATCTTTTCCAGGGGGTGGTGATTGAGGCAGGGTTTTGCTACGTAAGTCAGGCTGCCGAAACTCACTACGTAGCCAGGCTGGCCTTGAGCTTGCAGTGATCCATGCTGGCACCAACACTGCTTGTAGAAAGGTGGCAGAAATCAGTGAGACAGGAGTTGGGGTTCCACCAGGCGGTGAGGACGGTGGCCCCCAAATGGAGTCAGGAAGCCCCTGTGGAGCCTGCTGAGTCATGACCCGGGATCTCCCAGAAACCTCTGCCAGGCGTCCTTCGGCTGGTGGGGACCCCAGAGAACGGCGGGCAGCACGCTGGCTGAAGGGCACGTGGTCCCTGTGTGGACGCCGCGTGAATACTACATGGCCTGCGCCCTAAAATTCTGCAGTCTCCTGCAGGTAGGGATTACATTGCTTCCACGAGGGCCAAGCTCCCTCCTAAGTCTCATAAACACCCCAGACAAAGAGCCTCGTGGGCCTGCTCTGAGCGCCCCCCTGGCAGGCCGGAGCTCCGTCCTTGGTGCTGTGTCTTCTTCCTTTCCTTTACTGCTCTTGCTTCTTTGTCTTTTACCTTTTAAGGGAATTTGCTGGCATCTTGCTGCCTCTTGTGCGATTCCCGTCTTAGCACTGTGAGCCACGGCTCTGACTGCTGACCCTGTTTCTTACCTGCTAGCCGGTGACTCGGACTCTTCCTCTGATCTTTGAACTTTAAATCAAGGAGATTTAAGCAGCTACCGGATGAGAGAGGAAAGGCGCCGAGGTTAAGAGCGTCCAGGTCCACGGCCAGGCCTTGGCGGGGCTGAGGTGGCCCACCGGAGGCCTGTTCTGGGCTTTAACTCCCCACAGGCCCTCCCCAAAGTGCTCACTGCCTTTCCAATGTCTAGACCCTTCAGGACTGCCCGCAGGAGACGCTCTGCTCCCGTTTGCCCACAGGAAGGTAGACGGGGCGGAAGCCCGCTCCTTGGTGACTTCACTGCTCGAGCACACTCTGTAAGCAGCGTGCAGGCCACCAGGATACTCTGACCAGCGCCTTTGGCCACGAACCCCACCGAGGTAGGTGATGACTCTGTCAACGTTTTATGTGACGCGTTGGTTTTGTCTGTCTGAAGTTTGTAAAGTAGAATCCTGTTCTATGGGCTCGGGCTTCCTGCCTGGTTTCTTCTCAGCACTGCTGATCTGAGATTCGTCTTACTGGTTTTTATTGCTGTGTAATCTTTCGCTGAGTGAATGGGACACAATGGACCCCCTCATCCATCCGCATAGATATCTGTTCAGAGCCCAGTTAATAGAGCAGATGTGCAGTTCTTACATTGCCTAAGCCAAGCTTGTTATTTGTGTCTTAACTGTGTTTTGTTTGCTTGCTTTATTAATTATGAGCGTTCTAGGATATCATACTCTGACAAGGGGATTGTCTATTTTGCTGTTAAGTCTGCTGCGTTTTATTTAACGCGTCCCCAGCCGCGCTGTTAAGTGCTGGCTCTGTGGTGTCTATTCCTGTGTTAGGGCCAGAGGCCTGTCCCCTCCTCCAGCAATGGCTCCTGTCTTCAATTGCACCTTGCTGGCGTCAGCACGGTTGCACCTGCTTCTTTTGTCTTGCGTTTGCCTCTGTTCCCCTCTCCATTGCTTTTAACCTTTTTGTGATCTATTCAGCTTAAACGTGCGTTTCTTCTCAAGTGAGAGACATTTACGTTTTGTCTTTTGAAAATCCTGTCTGACAACCATAATGACTAACAGGTTTTTATCTGTGACATTACCTTTCCTTTTATATTTTACACGCTTCTTTTATGTTTTTTTTTTTTTTTCTTTTTTTCTGGCCTTGTTTCAATTTTTAAAACGATTCTATTTTTCCGCCTACTTTCCTTCTCTCCTCAGTTTCTTTACCAGTGCCTAATTTCTGGTAAGTTTTACGGAGACCTCTCTGCGATGTGAGCCCCGTCACCCCCGGGTCAGCCCAGGGGCCAAGCCTCGGATAGCAGCCCACGACACACACCCGGTGAGAACGTTTTCCTTTTAATAAAAAGCTGTTTGTATCACTGAAAGCTGTTACTGTGTTTTTCTTTTAAGACAAAAGATGTTAATGTATGAGTTGTTTTTGCTAAACTAAAACTTTGGTGTCCAGGTTTAATTGTACTGTGGGCACTTTAACCTAGGTGAGTGGGTTTCGGGTTGCATTTCGGGCCCTGGGTCTCTACAAGTTTGGCCGTCACTGCCTACAGATCTATGCCTGCTGCATATGTGTTTATGCATCTGGACGTAGTAAACGCTTTTATTTCTTTCATTGCACCAGTTACATTTGCCCCTGAGGACGCTTTTAACTCCGTTATTGCAGTGCCTTGCCTTTCTATGTGTACGTTAGTTTATTCGGTTATTAATATTTATTGATGCTTGAGGTAAGGTCTCGTTGTGTGTTCAGCCTGGCCTCCAACTCACGCTTCTCCTGCCTCGGCCTTCTGAGCGGCTGGGATGACAGTCGTACCTCACTAGGTCCCACTCTTCATGTGTTTTAAAGTCCACGCGACATTTCTGTTTTACATGGCCCTGATTTACCCAGGTTTAACCGTGGATTTGCTTTCTCTGGTGTTCCGCATTCCGACCTCCATTTCCGCGGGGGCTTGGGCCATTCTGCTCTGTGAGAATTCTCCATGCCCTTGTGTTCACGCAGACCTGTTGGTGACAGACGGCCTTGTCCTCTTCTCTGAGAGTGTCTGTCCTCCTTGGCCCTGGTGGTGCCTGGCCTGGTGGCTGTCCCAGGGAGGAGTGGCTGCGGTTGTGACCATCCACTCGTGCTCCTGGGGTTAGCCCTCACGCGTGTCCTGGGCCCTTGTCCCCCACGCACGACCTGGAGGATGTCATGCTTTGGTTCTCCCAGGCTGGGTTAGGTTTTAGCCTCCCAGGTTGTGAGGCGACAGGATTCAGCGAAGGTCTCTGAGGCCTGGGCCTTGACTTTGGTTTCCACCCATGCTGCTCTTGCTTTGTCCTGGAACTGGAGGCCGCCAGGCTGGAGAAGACTTGTCTCTGGGAAGGCGAGGGGCGTCCTGCAAGGCCCCAGCCCCTTGGGAGGCTAGGCAGGGTCCTTCCAGAGGTAGAGGGATTGGCACACCTTCAACGGGGCACATGGGGGGACTCTGGGGACTCAAATGTGTCCCTATCCCAGGTTTGAGGGCCCCACGACCCAGACAGTGCCCTGAATGTGGCAGTAAGTTTGCTGGGGCCGTGAGTTTGGGCTCTTCTGCGACCTTCCTCACTGTCAGGCCCTGCCCTCAGCGGCAGGAGACTGTGGTCAGGTTAGACGTAGTCATGGAGGCCTCTTCTTCCTGCTGCTGCTTCTGCCCCTCCTCCTCCTCCTCCTTTTCTCGTTCTTTTATCATACTGAGGATTGAACCCAGGGCCTTTGCACTGAGCTACTTGCCCACTCCGTTCCTTTTTAGAGATGGAGCATTGCTGAGTCACCAGGGTGCCCAGGCTGAGCTCAAACTTGCAGTCCCCCTGCCTCAGTCTCCCAGAGTGCTAGGATCACAGGTGTTACCACCTTGGGGGCCCTGTATTACTGCTTGACTGATCTGAGCTACTTTTTTCCTCCCGGAGAATATCAAGGCTCTGAACAGCAGCCAAATGCGTCTCCTGCTCTTACCAAGCCAGATGCCCTCCGTCTCTCCATGCTAGGGACCCTTCTTACCCTCTTTCACAGAGCGTGCTCCCTGTTTGTCACAGATGACTCCCCCAGGGGTCATGATGCTGTGACATGTGGTGATGACTGTCCCACCCACACCTGTGCCCATGGCCTTGTCAGTGATCAGATTCCAGAACCCACCAGGCTTCTGGTGCTTCCTGTCATTGGTTACTCTGCTCCCAAAGTTGGTCCTGAGTTGAGGACTCTTGGGAGGGGGTTGAGGCGGCGACCCTGGGAGGGTGACCCGGGGAATACACGGCGTGTTGCTAAGCTGGCTCCAACAAGGGCACCCATGCCCAGCCTGTGGGGACACTGAGACCCAGGCATTTCTGGCTTGCCCCATGCAGAAACGACACCTGGCTGTCCCCTAAACAGTGCGTCTGAGACTGGCATGGGGCAGGATGCTCATGCTGGAGCTCGGTACCCACCTCTCCCCTCCTGGAGTGACTGTTCCCTTCTGAGTCAGAGGCCCCAGGCGTGCTTACAAAGCTCTCATTTTCTGAACCATGAGTTCTTGTAGATGAATTCGCTGGCATCCTTTCCTGCGAAGCCCCTCACTGAGTCTGATACCACATCTTGGCTATTGTGGCTTCTGCTGCCTCATACATGGCAGGCCAGGTATCTAGTGGACAGGCTGATTGTGTAGCCTTTGAATACCCAGAGGTGGAACTGCTGGATAACAGAACAGTTCTATTTTTGATTTTTAAAAGAAACGCCATCCTGTTTTCCATAATAGCTGTACTAATTTACATTCCCACAAACAGCGTGCCAACGTTTCCTTCTCTCCACATCTTTGCCAACCCATGTTATCTTTCATCTTTTTGAAAACAGCAGCTCTGATAGGTGTGAATTGGCATCTCACTGTGGTTTTAATTTGCATTGCTCTAGTGATTAGCGATGTTGAACATTTTTTTCATATCCAAGTTGGCCATTTGTGTGGCTTCTTTTGGGAAACAACTATTTAAGTCCTTTGCCTGTTTGTAATTTGGTTATTTGCCTTCTTACTATTGGGTTGTTTGTGCCCCTCATACAAGGTGTGATCAGACAGGACGGTGAATATTTATATTACGGATGTACTGCAGTAAAAGGGTCCTTGTCATCCATTCCCTTCAAAACACTACCCTCTGCCTGCGCACGCCGTCCTGTTGTTCTGGCCTCTTTCTGCGTCCTTTTAAGTCCTCAGCTATGCTGCCCTGGCTGCCCCGGTGTCCAGAGTCAATTAAACAACATTTCCCTTTTCATTTTGACTTTGGGGAAGAACCAGAAGTTATATGGTTTCATCTCCAGTGAATAAGGAGGACGAGGACACATTGTAATGCTTTCACTCTACGGAAATCTCTGTAAATGTTTTGAAAAGATTCAGGACATTGAGGCAGCCACAGAAAGACCCTGACGAAAGAAGACGTTCAGAGCTGCTCCAGAAAGTGGCAAGAACAGTGACAGTCAACGTGTGCGAAGGTTGTGTGTGTGTGTGTGTGTGCATGTGTGTGTAGTATTTTAATGGTGAATGGAAATGTGTCTAAAATTTAAACATGTAAAACAATATTCGCCATATTTTTGGATCACACAGTGCATGCTTCGGATATAAATCCTTTAGCACATGTACAGCGTGTCAACGTATGCTCCCTAAGTGATCGTGGTCTCTTTTCCCTCTGCCCATAGTTTCCTAGGCTGTACAGAAGCTTTTTTAGCTTACTATGGTCCCACACGTTGGTCTTTGCTTTGGTTGCTTGTTCTTTTGTGGCCCGGTCTGTGCCAATTAATCTCAGTTGTCAGCTTGCCTGGAGAAGGATGGCGTCATGGGCCTGGCACACCTGCTGGGTTCATCCGCTGATGTTTATAACTAAATGTGCTGCTAGGACATGCGGGGCCCAGCTGGAGGTGGTGGGTCACTAGGGCATGATCTTGGAGGGTTTGTTTATTTCCTGCTAGTGCTCTTTTCCTGAGCTCAGCTTCCTGGCCATGGTGACATGAGCTTGTTCTAGCAGCCTCCTCTTTGCTGCCTTGAAACAAGCCAACCAAACTGAACTGTGAGCCCAATTAAAACTTCTCCTCCTTTAAGTCATGAGTGTCAGGTGTTTTTTCCCAGCAATGGGAAAAGAAACTTGGCACCAGAGAACCGAGGCCACTGCTGTGACTATGACTGACCATGTAGTTCAGAAGCCTTTGGAATTGGTTTGTGTGTGGGAATTGGAACAGTTTGAAGTTGAAGGCTGGAGAAGTTACTTAGACTGCCCTAAGCAGAGATTTATGGGCACTTCTGGCCAGAGCATGGAAGACCAGAATACTGACAGGAATGCAGATAGGGAAGGCCAGGCTTGGCAGGTTTCAGACAGGAATGAAGACTCGCTGGAAATTCTGCTGGAGGTTATTCATGTTACATTCTGGCAAAAAAACTTACCTGCACTTTGTCCCTGTATTGAGACTTTGCAGAAGGCTGAGTTTAAGGACGGTGGGCTAACTGATTCACTGGGCCAAAATTTTAAGCACAGCACAAAGCAGAACAGAAAGATTTGTAAAACTTAAAATTTTGACCAGAGGGAAAAAGCCATATAGTTGAGGTCAAAGTGTGGTTGCTAAAGAGATTGGTAAATTAAAAAGAAGCCAGATATTTTGAACAGAGATAAGAAGAAAGATGCCTTGGGAACATCTCAGAAACCAGTAAGACCCCCAATTGTCATAGGACCAACAGTGCGGGTGCCAACTTTTCATTGGAGATGAAAAGCCCTGGAAGCCCTGCTTGAGAAGGGCCCCCTGGAGAATGGTTCCCAATCCTTTCTACTATAGTGTTCCTGCTTTGACGTTAGCCGTCCATGGTCTGAATGAAACCACGAGCCAAATTAAACCTTCCCTCCTTTAAATTGTGAATGTTGAGTATTTTGTTCTAGCAGCAGAAAGCTGACTAATATAATGTCATGTAAAAATCTTTGCTCTGTCAATGTCATGTAGCTTTTCTTTTTTTTTTTGTCCTTTTCCTTTTTATCGGTACCAGGGATCGAACTCATGACTGCCTGCTTGCAAGGCAGGCGCTTATGCCGCTGAGCTAACTCCCCAGCCCCTGCACCACTGGTTTTTAAGACTATCAGTTCTCCACTAATTGTTCTTGGTATCTTTGTTGAAAATTGATTGACTATAAATACATGGATTTGTTTGTGAGCTGTCTGTCATTCTGTTGATCTATGTATCTGCTTTTATGCCAATACTGTGATGCTTGATTACTATGGCTTTTGAAATCAGGTAGTGGTATGCTTGCAACTTTGTTCTTTTTGCTCAGTTGCTTTAGCTATTTGGCATCTTTTGTGGTTCTGTATAAATCTGAGTATTTATTTTTATGTGAAAATATCATGCCTGGGGATTTAGCTCAGTGGC